CAAAGACTTATTACACGTGAAATGGCCATTTGGTATCAAGATGAACATCACCTATGATGAATACTTGCAAGAGGTAAAGCCAAGCTCCGTCGCAGTGCCGTGAATCCTATGCTTTGATGATTTCCATTGTGAAGCAGACAAAACAACGTGGATTATTGGGTCACTCGACGGAGCTTTTTTTCTACATTTCTAACATGTGTTTTTTCTTTTTGTATCGTCTCACTTAGGCCCGAATAGCTGGTGACCTGATTGAGCTGCGCAACAAGAGTGTCTTCGCATTTTTAATGTTCAATGCCTTATTCGTACTGATCGTATTCTTGCTACAGCTGAATAAAGATCAATTACATATTGTGTGGCCTCTTGGCGTCAAGACAAACATCACCTACGTTGAAGAAACGTCGGAGGTATCGAGTATTCCCGAAAATGGCAAAAAAAGGATGATGAGCAGAACCTCGTTGATGGAATTTCAGTGTGTTTTCAGTTATCTCTTCTTTTAATCAAACAAATATTTTCAAAATTTTCCATTTTCTAATTAAATGAGAATGAAAGCACACTGAATTAAACCATAGTTACGTGGTGACTGCATTTGTCCACTTTACGAATATGTGTTTGTCAATAACATTATTCGTATAATGGCACGTGTGAAAGGTTTTAATATTAATAAATGCCTTGCATAGGTTCTCCTGGTTGGATCGGATTGTGGGTGTGCAGAAAAACTTCTAGTCCACTGACTGAAACTCTTAGTGACTAAGCGATAACATTTTGATCCTATATGTATGATACTTTATCCGCATACTCCATCCTCTCATTCGATTTGTTTTTCTTTTTCCAGCTGTTTTCAAGGAAAATTAATTTCCTTTCATAAATCATATAATATATTCATCAAATCTAATTATTTGAAATAATTATTTGAAAAGATTTATCATTTTTACAGGAATTCAGGATATGACTGCTCTTATTTGTTTTGCTTCTTTTCATATTTTTTTTGTCATAAGTATATACTTACATGCATTTCAAATGTAAATGCGTAGAAATAGTTTATTCTTTGACTAATTTCATGTTTCTTAGATACGCGAAAATAGATTTTAAATGATAATTTAAAAATGAGATTAATAATGTGACTACTATTTTCTTGATAGATTAGATTATATGCATAATAAATATATCTTTATAGATTATCATTTATATGCATATACTTCATACTTATATTCAGATTTGATCTTTGATATTTTAATATCTTTAGTTTTCTCCATTATTATCCTAATCCTATTAAAAACAAATCAATGTTTTTCCATGCATTCCTCTTTATGTTTTGGGATAGGTCTAACTGATCCTTCACTGCAAGAGGTGTAGTCAAGTTCGAGCACCACTAATGCATTATGTGATATACATGTATATGCTTTTTATGTCTATTTACATATATAAGTATACGTGTATTTATGTATATAAATATTTTAGAAGAAATATAATATGACATATAGTCACATCGCTTTTATCACGGTGATAAATTAATTATCTTTTTTTTATATTGTTTGTCAAATTTTTAATAATGATATCTACACTTGTGTGAAATTTATTTTGTGAAGAAACGATGGAACTTAATCCCAAATCTAACTTTCATTTGGTAACAGAACTTACTAGTAAAGTGTTTAGTAACCACATTATTAACAAATATTATAAATATTTTTTCAGTTTATGTATAAATCTTGTGATGTAAATAAATTTTTATAATCAACAATAGGTACATCTAATTTCTGGTCAAAATTGAAAACAATATATGCGTATATTTGAAATGTTTACATTCATTTTTAATAATGTTTTATATATTTTTATAAAGCGAATTCTTAAAATTTTGTATTACATTGTACCTAATGTTGATACTAATATCAATAATTCACATTAAATAAATGTATATTATATATATATATATA